CTGAGGACACAAGGTACAATATTAGTGTGCCAATATGCAGTCTTTACACTCATGTAGCCTATAGTTTTTGAGGGAAACCAACACAAATAATTATTTACAAAACAAATTAAAGAATTCAACAAGGAAATGGAGGGTGATATAAAACCTTTAGGAAGTACCAGCTATTTATCTTGGGATCAAGATCTATTGCTCTGTTGTACTTCCTCTCACTGGCATTAAAATATGTCTCTTTCCTCACTGTCCTTGAATTCTTTTGAACTTCCTCCCCACATTTTTGTTGGTGCATTAAAATTATAAATAATAATGGGATTTTTCTTACATATTTATACATGTACACAATATAACAATATGGTTTGGTAAATATCATGCCCCAATACATCCCCTTTCTCTGCCCTCCTCCCAGTTCCTGGTCCCTTTCTTATACTCTACTGATCTCCTTTCAACTTTCACAAAATTACCCACATGTCTTACCTTTTCATTTCTAGTTTCTTCATTAAAAAACAAACAAACAAACCATAATCCTTGGTGTTCTGAGTTTGGTTTATTTCACTTAACATTATGCTCCCAAGTTCCATCCATTTTCCAGCAAATGACACACTTTCAATCTTTTTTATGGCTGAATTAAAACATCATTGTGTATATATTCCACATTTTCTTTGTCTGTTCATTGGCTGATGACATCTAGTCTGTTAGGTGTCCTAATAACTTCTCTATTGTGAATTGTGTTGCTAGGAACATGTATGTATGTGTATTGCTACAGTATGGTGATTTTAATTCTTTAGGATAAATACTGAGGAGTGGTATAACTGAATCATATAGAGTTTGTGTTTTAGTCTTTTGAGGAAATTTCCTACTGATTTCCATAGTGGTTGTACTAACTGATGATTACATTAAGAGTGTAAAAGGGATTCTTTCCCCTCACATCCTCTCCAGCATTTATTATTGTTCCATTCCTGATGGCTGCCATTCTAGCTAAAGTGAGATGAAATCTCAGGGCAGTTTTGACTCACATTTCCTTAATTGCTAATTAACAATTAATTAATTAATTAATAAACATTTTTCATGTGTTGTCCATTTACATTTCTTCTTTTGAGAAATGTCTGTTTAGTTATTTTTCCCATTAATTGATTGGGTTATTTGTTTTATTGGTAAATTTGTTGAGTTATTTGCATATCCTGGATATTAGTCCTCTCTCAGAAGAATACCTAGCAAAGATTTTCTTCCATTCTGTAGGTTCTATCTTCACATTCTTAATTGTTTCCTTTGCTATGCAGAAGTTTTCCAATTTGTTGTCATTCTATTTACTAACTCTTGCTGTTATTTCTTGAGTTTTAGGAGTCTTAGTGAGGAAGTCCTTGCTTGTGCCTATATGTTGGAGCACAGACCCTGATTTTCTTTAAGAAGCTGCAAAGTCTCTGGTATAATTTCTAGGTCTTTGGTTCATTTTGAGTTAACTTTTGTGGGTGGTGAGAGATAGAGATCTAGTCTTATTTCCTACATATAGGAAATCAGTTTCCCCAGCACTATATATTAAACAGGCTATTTTTTCTCCAATGTGGGTTTTTAGTGCCTTTAACAAGTACAAGATGACTGTATCAGTGTGGGTTTGTCTCTGTCTTCTATTCTGTTTAAGTGATCTTTATATCTGTTTTTGTGTCGGTACATGCAGTTTTTATTAATATAGCTCAATAGCGTAATTTGATGTCATGTATTGTTATGCCTCCAGTGTTGCTTTTTTGTCCCTTAGAATTGCTTTGAGTATGGATCTTTTAAGTCTTTTATTCTTCCAAATTGATTTAAGAATTTTTTTTAAATTCTGTGAAGAATAACATTTATGTTTTGATGAATCTATACACTGATTTTGGTAATACGGCCATTTTTAACGATATTTATTCTGCTTATCCATGAACATGGTAATTCTTTCCATCTTCTTATATCTTCAATTTCTTTCTTCAGTGTTCCATAGTTTAGAGATCTTTCACTTCCTTGGTTATATATATTTCTAGGTATTTTTTAGGCTATCTTAAACGGGATTGTTTTCCTGATTTCTTCTTCAGCACATTCATTATTAGTATATAGGAAAGCTGTTGACTTTCATATATTGATTTTGTATACAGCTATTTTGCTGAATTTTTTATTGATTCCAGGAGTCTTCTGGTGGAGCTTTTGGGGTTATATCATCTGTAAACATCTAAAACTTTGGGGGTTATATCATCTGTAAACATCTAAAATAAAACTAGTTTTATTTCTTTATTTTGTTTAATTGCTCTGGCTGACTTTTTCACACTGTATTTTGGTTAAAAATCTACTATCATCATCCATTTGATTCCATTGAAGCATCAGCTCCCAAAGCACTGTTTGGTTCCGGTCTTCTCAAAGGTTTGCAGCCCCAAGCCCATTTTGCAATCACTCTGTCACCTGATGTGAATTCCCAAACCTTTTTCAACACCCTGTTTAGAAGGCATTTTCATTGAGTTATTATTGGTATATCTACTAGATTGAATAGGAGGGATGAGAGAGGACATTCTTAACTTATTCCAGATTTTAGAGGAAATGCTTCCAATATTTCCACACTCATTATCATGTTGACTTTGGATGTGTTACATATATGATGTTGAGGTAATAAACTTTAAACATTTCTAACTTCTTTCCTTTTTGAACCTTCTGCTCTCTTTATACCACACTATTTGAGTGATGTATTATTTGCTCTATGTTGATCAGTTTTTTTTTTTTATTTTTCACTGTGAAAAAAAAATGAACTTAAAGAAAATCAACTTAAAGAGGGAGGATTTATTTTGGCTCACAGTTTCAGAGGTTTCAGTCTAGTCTCTTAATCTCTTGACCCATAAATATGGGCTTGTTGTGAGGCAGAATATCATGCTGGGGAGCATGTGGTAGAAGAGAGCTATTCATCTCATGGTGACGAGAAAGCAAAGAGAGAGATGAGAGGAGGAGAGAAAATGCCTGAACACAATATGCACCTTCCAAGGACACATCCCCAGTGACTTATTCCCTCCAATTAGGCCCCACCTTCTAAAATTTCTACCAACTCCCAATAAAACCAACAAATTATAAATACATCAATTGATCAATTCAATGATGAAATTAGAGTCTTCATGATTCATAATTTACCCAAACCCCACCTCTGAACATTGTTGCATTGGGGGTCAGTCCTTCAACATATGAGCCTTTGGAGAATAGTTCAAATCCCAATCATAACTCAACTATAACTCCTTCTAAACAAGGTGTTGAAAAAGATTTGGGCATGCAGATCAGGTTACAGAGTGATTGTAAAAGGGGTTTGTGGCTGCAAACCTTTGAGAAGACAGGAAACAAACAGTGCTTCGGGAACCAATGCTTCAGTGGAATCAAATCCATGATGATAGTAGATTTTTACCCAAAATGCACTGAAAAAGTCATCAAAGACAAAATCATGAAGAATAGACACAATCTAATAAGCACATATGATGATAGTGATTCTGTGGAGCAACAAGGACTCTTGTTCATTGATAGAGAGAACACAAAATGATATAGCCATTTTGGAAGACAATATAGTGTGTTATCACAAAACTAAAAATAACCTTACCATATAATCCAGAAATCACAGGCCTTAGAATTTTCCCAAAGGAGTTGAAAATTTATGGACACACACACAAAAAAAATGGATTACATATATTTAAAACAGCTTTATTAATGATTGCCAAAACTTAAAAGCAGCTAAGATGTCCTTCAGGAGGCAAATAGATAAACAAGCAGTGATACATAAAGTGGAACATTATTCAGCACTAAGGAGAAATGAACTATCAAGCCATGAAAAGATATGGAAGAAACCTAAAAGATTGTTACTAAGTGAAAGGAATCAATCTTAAAAGACTAAATCCTGCATGATCAGAGTGATATGATATCCTGAAAAAGGCAAAACTATGGGGACACTAAAGATAAGTGTTTGCCTGGAGTCAGGGGAAGAAAAAAAATGAATAAATAAGCAGAGAGGATTTCTGTGACAGCAATATACTTTATATGATACTGTAATGCTGAATGCATGTCACTATACATTTGTTCAATCCATAGAATGTAGAATATCAAGAGTAAATCCTAATTTAAACTATGGTTTGGGGTGATAATGCTTTGTCAATATAGGTTCATTGATTGTAGCAAATGTATAAATCTAGAGAGGGATGTTGATAATGGTAGAGGCCTATGTTTGGGGATAGGGTTATGTGTGATATCTCTATATCTTTCAATGTTGCTGAGAAACTAAACATCTCTAAAAACATAGTCTTTTTAATAAAAAAGAAACAGAATACTTAATAATTCATTAAAGAATACAATATAACATGATAAATGTCCCAGTCCAACAGGAATAAAAATGCTTCCAGTTATGATACGGAAAAGAAGAAAAAAAAAAGAATGGAGAAGGAAGGATATTAGATTGGAGGGAAATTTCTTAACCTTTTTCAGAGTTTAAACAACTTACCATGTAGGAAATGTAACACCCAGACAGGTTATATGTGAGTATGTATTTGTGGTGGTGATAGTGGTGGTGGGAGAAGTACAATAAGAAAAAAAATATGGAGGAAATGTTGAAATCTCCAGAAAAGTAGGGGAAGAGTCATATGATCAAGGTAGATACTTAATCATCCCTGCATATTCAATGAGGCTCAGAAGAATAATGGCCTAGAAGGAGCCAGGTAAGGAGTAAGCTCCAGAAAGTTTCCACCTACACGTGGGACACAGGGAGTTCTGAAACTTCTGGGTAACTCTCCCCATTCATAAGGTTGACTTGGAACCCTGCAGGCCTACCAAGGAACCCTGCAGGCCTACCAATCAGCTTCTGTAATGACATAAATTGTCTCCAGAGTGAAAACTATGGATGGACTTCATAAACTACAGCTAAGATGAAGGGTATGACTGGATAAAGGGGGAAAAGGCATGCTAGCAAGAATAAAAGCAGGTTCAATGAATAAACACCACATGAGTCAGCAAACCTACTCCTAGGAATAGGACCAAAGCATTGGGAACATACCATGATCACAAAGATGGTTTTCCCAGGACAAACTTTATTCATTGCACTATGGATGTGTTGAACTGTGTGATTTCCCCAAAGGTGGAAAACTCCATTGTGTCATATAGGATAGTGGAGGTCTGTATTTGCATTCTCCCAAAGTATGGGGATGGGTTTGAATAGAGGTCCTCAAATAATAACTTACACATGATTATTTATAGCAGTTCTATTCATGATACCCAAAGGGTACAAGCAAACCAAATTTCCATCAAGAGATGAATGGATGAACAAAATGTGATATATTCATACAACGGAATATTATTAAGCCATAATAACAATGAAGCACTGATATACGTGCTACCATATAGATGAACCTTGAAAACACTGTGCTGAGTGAAAGAAGCCAGACCCAAAATGTCAACATTCCATTTATATGAAATATTCACCAGAGGTAAATTCATGGATTCAGGAAGACATCAGTTGTCATTAAGGAAGAGGAACTGGGGAGAACTTCTTGCTTTTTGGTGCCTGATTTCTACATGTAATGATGAAAAGCTTTTGGAACTGGAGAGGTGATGGTTGTACAACACTTTGAACATAATTAATGCAACATAACTGCACACTTTAATGGTTAAGATGGTAAATTTTATTACGTATATTACACCAATAATAACATTAATAGTAGTTGGAGGAGGGACTTGTCAACTGCTGTAGTTTGGATATGAAGTGTCTCCCAAAAGTGCATGTATTACAGACTTACTCCTCAGAGTGGGACTATTGGGTGGTGTTGGAAACTTTAAGAGATGGGGTCTATTGGGAAGTCTTAGGTCACTAGCAGTGTGCCCTTGAACATGAACACTTGGTCCCTTCCTCTTTCTTCCTTTTGCTTCTTGGCCATGGGGTACGTTGTTTTGCTCCACCCCCTGGTCTCACCATGATGTACCATGACAGGTCCAAAGCAATAGGACCAATCAAACATGAGCAGACACCACCAAAACTGTAAGCCAAAATAAACTTTTCTCTTCATTAGTTGATTATTTCAGGTATTTGTTGTAGTATTGGAAAGCGAACACATCAGCAGAGCAATTGCTAACTCCACAGTGGAATTTTCAACCAGTTTTATACATGCCAAATAAACAGAATATGAATTCCACTCAATGAGCACTTCAGTATTGGGCAGCAGAACTAAATGTCCTCAGGTTGTCAAGGGAGACCTGGAATAGAGAATGAGGACCCTTGAGATCCCACTACCCCACCATCAGGATAAAAAAGTAACCCTTGAAAAAGGTTGCTATCTTGGAGAGCAGGAGGAAAGAAGCAGAGCTGATAGACATTGAACTTCAATTGCCTTAATAATTTCTTAAAGAGACTGTTGAAACCTGAAGACATGATTATTTTAACTGGAAAAGTCTGAAATTCTGTAATTGGCAAGTTTTGAAGTACTCAGTGATTTTGGTTTTGCTTTGTTTTTGTTTGTTTTAGTAGCAGGAATTTGTGTCTTTGAGGGTGATGAAAATAGTTATAGAAAACTTTCTTATATGTATCTGAGTATTATATTTGTCTTAGTCCATTTTTTATAATAAGAAAACACCACAGAATGAGTGCATTATAAATAAAATAAATTTATTTTGGATCACAGCTGTGGTCCAATGGAGAGAGATTGCTTTTGTTGATGGCCTTCTTGATGGCAGAGTCCCAAAGTGGTGGAGGCTATGACATGGCAGAGACAGGGAGTGTGCATGTGTGTCTTCTGGTCTCTTTCTTCTTTCTTCTTTGAAGCTATAGCATTCAATCACAGGGGCTCTACCCTGATGACCTTATTTAATTCATCAGTTCATAAAGGCCCCACTTTTAAACATCAGAGTCAAATTAAGTTCCCATACTATTTTTTTTTTACTTTTAAACTCAAAACTTTAATCAGAGAACCAACCAACATGCAAATATAAAGGGTATTTCTACAGTGACCCACAGAAACACAGGTAATTAAACAGAGATGTCCCCAGTGGCTGCTAACTTTCCACAGGGCTTCTGTTATCTATCATTTGTGTCAAAACTGTCATCAAACACACTTTTAATTGACATGCATCCCTGCCCTGTAATATTTTGTTCATTTTTGAATATAACATGCCCATCTCCTAGACCAGAGATCCAGAGGGCAGGGACAATATATAGGCCATTTGAAAAACAGAATGCTCACCCCTGTGGTGTGGGCTCAACTGGCAGCCAGTAAGTTCCTAATTTCAACTACAAAAGCAGCCATCAGAACTCAAGGCCTAAAAGCCCAAGAATGCAGAGTGAATATCTTTGGACCATTTTCAGCACCCCAACTATGAAAGGTGTTAGTGTCAGTGTCCAACATCTTTCCCACCCTTTTTTTTTTTTTTGGTACTGGTGATTGAACTCAGGGGCTCTTGACCACTTAGCCACATCCCCAGCCCTATTTTGTATTTTATTTAGAGACAGGGTCTCACTGAGTTGCTTAGTACCTCTCTTTTGCTGAAGCTGGCTTTGAACTCTGGATCTTCCTGCCTCAGCCTCTTTAGCTGCTGGGATTACAGATGTGCACCACCATGCTCAGCCACACCCTCTTCATAGGGACTAAATTCTAACATGAGTTTTGGAATGGACAAACCATTAGCAATAGTGTTATGCATATTTCAGATTTTAATGAGATGGAAACCAGGATCAATCAATGTAAAATGCTTGAGTGACATTGTGCTTTGATTATGTTAAGAATAATAAGGAAAGTGATGGAAATGTTAAGAAGTGCTACATGGGAATAGTGCTTGTGGAGACAGATGTTACTCTGAGCAAGTCTAAAGAGGTCCACACACTCAGGGATGTTTGGGTATTACAACACCATGCAAATCCTACAGTGTAAAGACTATGTCATAGATAACCTAGAATGCGTAAGCATTTGACCTCCACTTTCCCATTGAAGCAATGGTTTTTATAGTGAACACTTGATAATATGAGACTTCAGTAGCTCAATTATTGTAGCACAGCAGTCTCTACAGAGGTTTCAGAATATTGTAAAGATTTACTATTTTTTTTTAAATTGAAATATTTTAAATGTATGTGCACAGATTTTGTGGTTTTCTTCAAAATTTTACAGAGACTGCTATTAGGCTTGAGTTCTCACATGGCAAGAAATCAGTACACTTGGGATTTGCCAAAGTTCTCAGCCTTCCTTACTGTCTCATAGTACCAAGTTTCTCTTTAATCACTTTAGACGCCTTGGTTTCTATGGGCCTTGGAATTCACACCCTTATTTTAGCCAAATGTGTGACTATGCAATGTAGACAATGGCATTGCTGAATTATATGGTTTGGCTTAGGTGGCAAAATCCCAGATTTTTTTTTTTTTTTTTTTTTTGCCTCTTCATGAAAACCCACCCCTCCACCTGGCCGTTTCTCGGCTTGGGAGGGCTAAGGTCCCAGCAAGTGCACCACCACTCTTCAAACAGGCTCTTTATCTAACCAAGAGAGCATATGTAAATTAGATTGTAGAGTGCAAAGTGGGATGCACCTATCAGGTATTATTGTTTACAAGCATTCTGGAGTTCACCAGTGTTTCTAGAAGGCAGTTTGATAACCATGGTAATTTTGGCACAAAAGATACAGACAGCTGAGACCCTAGATTAACTAAAACCTACTCTAGAAAAATTGAAAAAGCCTCAAGACATCCATAAAAAAAGTAACATTTGAAATCTCTACCTTTATAGTAGAAAGCAGGGGGCCTTCTTAGCACATAGCTGACTACAACATTATTTTGAAATATGAATTTTTAATTTTAGTGCATAGATATGTGTTTCTCAATAGCTGTAGATTTTTTAGGAAAATGTTATCTTCAGTCCTTCTGGAATCTCTACTGATTTAGTCCTCTCTGAAATTAAAAAGGAAACAGAAAGATTTGGCAACCACTTGATGGCAACACAGTGACTCACTGCAGAGAAAATCTAAACGATTCCCACACCAGTTCCTCATTGTGTCCTAATTTTTTCCCTGGGTACCGAGACCTAGTTAAATAAGCTTTTCATTTTTCATTTTATAAGAATTGATTAAATAATGGCTCAAGATTGTCATTGAACTTTTATTATTTTAATTGCATAGTTGTCAATACTTTTGTAGAGATTCATTAAAGATTGTTCCTGACGACATGTAAGAATTGATTTTCTTTCAGACAACTAATCACTCCATTTTGAGTGTGGAATTCTTTTAGAACTGAACTTTGATTTCTTAATAGGATTATAGTTAATCTCTTGATGAATGGTAATACAGAATCCTTTATTCTTGGCTTTATGTTTTTTAATGCCTCATTTTGTTACACTCTGTTATTATATGTTTTCTTTGCTCTGTCAATAAATACAAATATTCCACATTCTAAAGATCTCTTTTACTAGCCTGCTCTCTCCCAGAGATGTATTGGGAGAAATAAAATGAAAAGAAAAAAAAGCTATTTGATGTAAAAATAAATTCACACTGGAAGATAAAAAGAGATGGTTTGTAAGATTTACTTGAAAAATCTACTTTCCTGGACATTTTTGCCTAGGGATAGGCTAGGCAGTCATTTATCATCTCAGTGTCCTGTAGATTATTTACAAATTTCTGGTAAGAAACAGAAATGAGACAGTGGGAAGCAGTAATTGAGACAATGATAAAAACTGAATTTGGGGCTGTGGCTTGTCTTTGTTTCAGCCCAGACACAGCTGAGGTTTTCTTCTATGTGTATTGGAAAATAAGGGAAAAGGAATTATCGCCACAAAAGTAAATACAATGATGGCTGAATATGTATATTAAATTATTTCCAAGAAGCTTTTGTGCATAAGCCTGTCTGATAGTGCACTTCAATACATTTACATCTTGGAATTTTAAAGGGCCTGTCTATCAGTAGGCTTTCTGAATGGGTTTTCAATTGCACAAATGGTCTCTATCACATGAAAAGCAATACTGTTTTTTGAAAGGCAATGTACTTATTGTGCTACCCACATGGGACTATCAGTGCCTATTGGCTACCAACAATTACCTTTGAAATGAAAAATATTGTTTGTATCAAAGAACTGTTTGAGTCTAAAGAAAGAGCTTTGCAGCCTGCCAATCATCCCCATATCCTGAGGATTATATTGTTGGGAGTTTTATACAATTTACATGCAGAACCTG